CAGCGACTCCGTTCCCAAAACGACTATAACAAGTCCACACTGTGCAGCAGTTCTAATTCAAGCGACAAAACTTCAAGATTCAACGAACCTGAGTATGTGTATGCATACATATTCTCTTCACTATCAAGTAAAAGTTCCACAAACGCCATGAACTAGGACAAATTCTAAAACATACCAATTTTACATTCTGTACTCAATTTTGCTCCACACATATGTCTCATTCAACAAAAAAAGGAAGACACTGTATTGAATAAATAAACTATACGGCTTTGTACAGAACGTGAAACGCTCTCTTTGGAAGAACAGGTTTTCCCATTATAGCGATAATAGTGAAAAATTTTTTAAATACTAAGATGTGAGTGTGGATGTGAATGGTATGTGGGTGTTGGTGTCGATAAAAAGAAGGTCCATCCACACCCACACCCGAACACACCCACATCCACACCACACACCCATACCCACCCACACTCTACTAATTTGAACACCATGTCGGATAAACAAGCTGGGAGTTCGGTCTAATATGACATATCAGACTGACATTTTTACTACAAGCTTTTCTCACTGGGATCACTCATTACTGTAAACTTCAGGCGAAACGGTCCGTTTTAAGTGGGAAATGACTTGTGAGAAATTTCCTTAACTATTTTTCGCGATATGGAAATGTTTTAAATTAGTGAGAACTTTCTGTCTTTTTTCAGAACCGAAGAATGTGGCATTGAAGACAATATAAGTGTAGAATAACCAAAAAAAAAATCTAGAAAACAAGAAGTCATAATATTTTGTTGCTAAGAGAAGATCAATTGAGTTATATATAATTTACCTGTAGCGTCTTACTTATCTTTAGCGAAAAACTTTTAATTTTTTTTTTTATCAAAAAAATGATGTGTATCAACATCACAGTTGGAGTTAAAACTGTTTTTTAAAAGGTTAAAGGTTGAGAAAAAAGACAAAAAGTTAAGATGGTTATAACTTGAGTTATAACTATCAACTATCTTAACTTTTCGACTTTTTCAGTAAATTTTATTGACTTGAAATAATAATCCTGGTGAGTTCATTAACATCCTTGATAAAATTCATCAAAATATATATTATTCATTACTCATTACCTTTAAAAAAAGAGTATATTTAGATTTCCCTGAATGTTTTTTTCATGCATTTATCTACATGCTATTTTTTCTTGTGTTATATGTCGACTGTGAAGGGAATATGTATTCTTTACATTGCGACATAAATATTTATCTGTGTTGACACCTTTAGACGAGATGCAGAAATTGCAGTCACCTTCATTAAATATATTTCTCATGTACATATGCTTTCCAATAAAAGATATGTCTTTGAAGATTTCATAACATAGTAAATCGGTCTTAAGTTAATATGCTTATAACTGTCAACCGAAGTTGTGACTGTCATCTGAGTTTAAAATCTTGAATTACAGTTTTAATTGAGAAATTTATTTAGAGCCAATTCGGCTATATTCATTAATCAGTAGAATTTTTTATATTGCTTAAGACTGAGACTAATTAGAACTATCAACCATATTCATATCACAAACAAGAAACGCTAGCACCAAGTATCAATAGGTCACCATTCATGTATTCCTTCTGAATGATCCGTAAAACGTATCAGAGATGCCAACAGGCCACTTTTTTCTGGCCTGGCCTGGCCTGCTGCCTGGCCTGGCCTGGCCTGACTTAGCCTACAGGCCAGGCCAAAAGTCAAAGAGTGGCCTGAAGCCTGGCCTGACCTGCAGGCCAAACCAGGCCAATTGATGTTTCTGATTTTTCAAATCCACTAAATTCTATAACTCTATATTAATACATGATTCCAATTTCAATTATTTATTTAATTTATTTTCATGAAGATAATGGAATAACAAGTTTTTGCACAAAATAGCAAATTAAAACAAAGAAACAGTCATCTTAAATATTTTTCGTACAAGAAAGACTTGAATTTACGAAAATTTTTGATGAGATCAATACTTCTTTACATAATCGAAAGATGTTTAAGCATAATAACAAAAACAACATATGATCCGGGATACGACGAAATGACGAAGTTAAAAGTGAACAAAATCATCAACTTGCACTGTAAAAAAAAGGGTTTCTACCGAACCCTCCACAAAGGTTTCGTAGGTGTCTAAAAGCTTCCAAATGCGTCGAAACGCTTAAATAAATGGTTGTTAAAATCTACGAAACCTTAAAAGGATCGGGTATCGGGCACAGCTACCGAATCATCTCCTACGAAACCTTTTTTAAGTTCCGTACAGTAAAAAAGGTTTTGTATTTTCTTACGAAACCTTTGTAGTTTCTTACTAAACTCTATGGTTTCGCACTATGGTTTTACACGAAACCATAAGGTTTACTAGGAAGCTACAAAGGTTTCGTAAGAAAATACGAAACCTTTTTTACTGTACGGAACTTAAAAAAGGTTTCGTAGGAGATGGTTCGGTAGCTGTGCCCGATACCCGATCCTTTTAAGGTTTCGTAGATTTTAACAACCATTTATTTAAGCGTTTCGACGCATTTGGAAGCTTTTAGACACCTACGAAACCTTTTTGAAGGGTTCGGTAGAAACCCTTTTTTTTTACAGTGTGTGGTGCCATCTCATGTTTCAAGATGACTACCCATGTAAAAGAAAATTATTAATAATCAGATTAACAATCGATTAAAATGAGACAATTTTAATCTGATTTTAATCAGATTTTTCCGCCTTACAAGACAGATTTTATTTGACTTAATCTTTTTTAATCGATGAAAATCGATTAAAAAACTTTAATAATCAATTATAATCGATTTATTTCAGTAATCGATTTTAATCGATTAAAATCAGATTAAGTCAAATAAAATCTGTCGTTTAAGGCTGAAAAATCTGATTATAATCGTCTCATTTTAATCGATTTTTAATCTGATTCTTTTTTTACACGGGTACTAGAGAAATCAATATCATATCGCAGCCAGGCCACTAACTTTGGCCTGGCCTGTCCTGGTAACCAGGCCGAATATTAGATGGACGGATCAGGTCAGGCCAAAATTTTAAAATTCAGCCTGGCCAGGTGGCCTGGCCTGGCAGGCCACCAGGCGCCTGCCAGGCAGCAGGCCAGGCCGGCAGCTCTGCTTCGAATCTCATATTCAATATTATTTTAATGAAAATGTTCAAATCAAATAGGACTCAAACAAGGGTGTGAGTAATGATACCTACATCCGCACGCACATTCACACCCTATATTGCTTAAGGAAAACGAATATTCTATAAAATATGTAAAGATGTTGTTTATTTTTGAAAAGTATACATATTTGATTATACAATTAACACCTTGGTAGTATTCTTATAATATAGTCAGTTATAGGTCAATTTAACTGTCAATTTTTCATGTAGATATTACAGTTCTGTTATTTTCCAATATTGTCCTTGAAAAGAACCAGTTGTAGCAAGTATTGGTTTATTATTATTTATACCATCATTAATAATATCAAGAGATTTACCATCACCTTGCCGTAATGTTGTCAAGCGATAATATCCATTATCGAGTAAAGTAATCTTCCAGTATTGACCACTACTATTACTAGTCGTAGCGAGTATAGGTTGAGCATCGTTTATATCATCATCGACAATATCAAGCGATTTACCATCGCCCCGCCACAGTGTTGTCAAGCGATGATATCCATTACCAATTAAAGTAATCTTCCACTGTTGTCCACTATTATTATCAGTTGTATCAAGTATAAGTTGATTATTATTTATACCATCATTAATAATAGAAAGAGATTTATCATCACCTTGCCATAATGTTGTAAAACGATAATAAACTTTTGAGTCAAAAGCTGTTACTGTAAGTAGAAGATAAATAATAAAAAATAGATATATATACACTTTGTAATGCAATTATAGAATGTGAATGTGTATGGGTGTTAATGATGACAATAAAAGCTATATCCACAGGCATGTAAAGAATCATATCTATATTCCGTTCGAAAATATTCCTTACTTTGAAGAGTCCACGAAAAATTATTCATATCGTGTTTTACTTTTCGCGCGAAAGCTACACTCTATTCACTTCCTTTATTCCAGTCAAAAAAAAGCACGCTTTGCTGATCACATATTTTATAAATATATATGCATGTATCACGTACACATATTTAAGAGGATTATTTGATACAAAGTTTACATTTCACAAATTTAAATCATAACTTTTTCAATCATTCTAGATCTTTTGTCAACCAATCATACATCAGAAAATTTTCGAATATCAGATAATTCATAAGTGTATTATCAGTTTCTAACAGAAGAAACCCAATGAACAATATACATTTTACCATTCGACCTATTTTCACTCAATAAAAAACAAAAAAAAACCGCCGATTAGGGACTATAGGGAGCATGATGTATTTAAGT